GAGCCCCCATGTCCTCTTTTCTGTTCCTTCTTAAAGCAGCATGGAGAGCCAAAGAGTATTTGAAGATTTATTAATGAATCAAAAAAGGGGGCTGGAGAGATGGCTGAGTAGTTAAGAGCACTGACTGCTCTTCCAGGGGTCCTGAGTTCAATTCCCAGCAACCACATGGTGGCTCACAACCATCTGTAATGGGATCCAATGCCCTCTCCTGGTGTGTCTGAAGATAGTGACAGTGTACTCATATACATAAAATAAATAAATAAATCTTAAAACAACAACAACTACCACAGACCTCAATAAGTTCGAGGGTGGGGGAAAGACTCGGAGAAAGAAGAGCCAAGGCAGGAAACAGAAGATAACGTCAAATAATGTATAATATTCATGGAGAAAAGGGAAAATCAGGAGAAGGAAAATGGTCTTGGAAATTAAAATATACATTAGTTCCCCCATCTGTGCTTTCATACTCAAGTTTCATTTATTCTTGGTCAGTCATGGCCTGAGAAGATTAAAAGTCCAGAGTTAGGGGCTGAAGACGGCACAAAGGTTAGACTCTACATTGTTCTTCCAAGGGCCTGAGCTCAGTTCCTTGCACCCAGAGCAGGTGGTTCACAGTTATCGTTAACTTCACTTCCAGGGGATCCGGCTTTCCCGGGGGACTCGCTTCATGTGCACGGAACCTTTTAACAATACTGGGAGTAGGAACAGGGTATGATGGTGCACACCTGTAGTCCCAGTCTCAGGCGGCAGAGGCAGGTGGATCTCTGTGAGTTTAGAGACTAGCCTTTGGTCTACAGAGTGAGGTTCAGGACAGCCAACAAACAAAACAGAAAAAAAAAATCCAGAATGAAAGTCGGGCATGGGGCACACACCTGTAACCCCAGCACTTAAGAGGTGGAGGCAGGGGGATCAATCAGTTCAAGAACAGTTTTACCTACATAGCAAGTTCAAGGCCAGTCTAGGCTATATAATATTCTATCTCAAGCAAAAACCCCTGAAAGAAAGAGGGAAAAAAAAGGAAGAAAGGAAGGAAGAAAGGCTTAGGGAGAACAAAGTACAACTTCTCAAGTATTGACCCTCTGTTACTGTCCACTTAAACTTTTTTGTTTATATTTTATTTTTATTTATTTATTATTTTTTATAGCAGGATGTGGTGGCACATGCATCTGATCCCAGCACTCTGCAGAAGCTGATAGATCTTTGTCAGCTCAAAGCCAGCTAGGGCTACATACTGATACTCCAGCTCCAAAAATAAAAAAATAAAAAATAAATTGTTATTGGTGTGTGTGAGTGTGTGTGTGTGTGTATGTGTGTGTACGTGTAAGATCACCACGAAGAATGTGCAGAGGTCAGAGGACAACTTGTAGGAGTTAGTTCTCTTCTCCCCCAACCATGTGGGACCCAGGGATTGAACTCGGGTCTTTGGCACAGCGGCAAGTGCACCTGCCCACTGAGCCATCCTACTGGTGCCTCTTTAGTATATGTTTTGCCTGCATGGTGTTTGTGTACCATATGTGTACCTTGTTGCTATGGAGGCCAGGAGAAGGTGTTGGATCTACTGGCACTGGGATTACCAGACAGTTGTAGGTGCTGGGGATTGAAACTAGGTCTTCAAGAAGGATCTTAACTGGTGATCCATCTCTCCAGCACCTCACCACCCTACCTTTTTTGAGTTCATGTCCCTCACTGGCCTGCAATTTGCTAACTAGGCCAGCTGACTGGCTAACAAACTCCAGAGGTCCAACTATCTCCACTCCCCAAGTCTGGAATCCTAAGAACATGCCACCACCCTTGGCTTTCTTTGTTTAGTTAAACAATGGGCTCTTACTTCAGGTCTTTATGCTTCTAAAGGCAAATGATTTACTGACTGAGCTACTGCATGGCTCCCAGAAAAAGTTTTAAGTAACTTTTATTATGGCATATTGCTATAATTGTTCATGTTTATTAGTTATTATTATTAGTTTCTTACTGTGCAAACTTATAAAGTAAAATTTATAGCAGGTAAAGTTTATGTATGTATAGGAAAAAGCAGCATGCGTAGCCTTTGACACTGCTCAGTTTCAGATTTGCACTGGAGATTTTGGGATACATCCTCCTCAGATACTAGAAACTACTGGAATAGCCAACTCAGGATGCTCCAGCGCCTTCCGATAGTCTTCCCTGCAAAAACTGAGTCTACTTTCTCTTCCCTTGAGGTTTGGTTTAGTGACCATCTTCTAGGACATTGTATTAACTTACTTTTTGCCTCTGGAATAAAATGTCCAAGACGTTCAATTTATAAAGAGAAAAGGTTTTATTTTGGCCCACGGTTTTGAAGGTTCTGGTCTATGACTTATTGTCTCTGTGGTGAGGCAACACATTATGGTAGCGGGGCATAGTGGAACAGAAGAGGAAGAGACAGGGATCCCACAATCTCTTTGAGCACCAGCAATGACCTAAGACCTTCTATTAGTCACCCCCAAAGGGCCAGTCATCTCCTCATAGTGCCACCTGGAATACTAAGTGATTAAGCACATGGAGCTTTAAGACCCAAATAACAGTGCAATAGAAAAGATAAATGTGACCACTATTTCTAGATCATGGAAAGTCATCTGTGTGCTTGTTATCATGTCTGTCTATATGCCCATCATCTATCTGTCTGTCTCATTCCCCTTCCTCTCCTCCCTCTCCCCTTTCTTTTCTTTTCTCTTTTTTTTTCTTTTTTTGTTTTTTCGAGACAGGGTTTCTCTGTGTAGCCCTGGCTGTCCTGGAACTCACTCTGTAGACCAGGCTGGCCTCGAACTCAGAAATCCACCTGTCTCTGCCTCCCCCTCCCCTTTTTTTCCTCCCTCCCTTCATTTCTCTCTCTCTCTCTCTCTCTCTCTCTCTCTCTCTCTCTCTCTCTCT